CCTGCTGTCTGGAATTGCTCTTTAAGGTAAATTGAGTGAATTGTTCTGATATTAGCCCAGCCGCAGTGCATCCTGCAGAGTATTAGTAGCTCACTGATTGGATTTACTCCTTCCCAGGAATTGTTCTTTAACCTTGTTTCACAGGATGGTAAAACCACTTTGTAATACCGCCAGATAGCCGCCCTCTGACTTCCACTATTAACTGTCAATTTGCAGCAGCAAGAGGACATAGAGAAGCGGCAGAGATTGTATAATGGAGGACAGCCGAGGTGGCCATTATACTAGAGCAACACAAATGTGCTGATGTCTCGCAGCCTGCTGCCATCTATAAGATATCTGGTGGTGTATAGGCGGCTTTCCTATATCATGGACAAATCACACCCCCAGTTATATATAGGCAATGGACACAACCCTACCACACCCCCAGTTATATATAGGAAATTGACACACCCCTGCCACACCTCCAGTTATATATAGGCAATGGACACACCCCTGCCATACCCCCAGTTATATATATGCAATGGACACACCCCTACCTATATATAGGCAACGGCCACACCCCTACCATGCCCCTAGTTATATATAGGCAATGGACACACCCCTACCTATATATAGGCAACGGCCACACCCCTACCATGCCCCTAGTTATATATAGGCAATGGACACACCCCTACCTATATATAGGCAACGGCCACACCCCTACCATGCCCCTAGTTATATATAGGCAATGGACACACCCCTACCTATATATAGGCAACGGCCACACCCCTACCATGCCCCTAGTTATATATAGGCAATGGACACACCCCTACCTATATATAGGCAACGGCCACACCCCTACCATGCCCCTAGTTATATATAGGCAATGGACACACCCCTACCTATATATAGGCAACGGCCACACCCCTACCATGCCCCTAGTTATATATAGGCAATGGACACACCCCTACCTATATATAGGCAACGGCCACACCCCTACCATGCCCCTAGTTATATATAGGCAATGGACACACCCCTACCTATATATAGGCAACGGCCACACCCCTACCATGCCCCTAGTTATATATAGGCAATGGACACACCCCTACCTATATATAGGCAACGGCCACACCCCTACCATGCCCCTAGTTATATATAGGCAATGGGCACACACCTACCATGCCCCTAGTTATATATAGGCATGGACAAAACCCTACCACACCCCCAGTTATATATAGCCAATGGACACACCCCTGTCACACCCCCAGTTATATATAGGCAATGGACACAACCCTACCATGCCCCTAGTTATATATAGGCATGGACAAAACCCTACCACACCCCCAGTTATATATAGCCAATGGACACACCCCTGTCACACCCCCAGTTATATATAGGCAATGGACACACCCCTACCATACCCCCAGTTATATATAGGCAATGGACACACCCCTGCCATGCCCCTAGTTATATATAGGCATGTACACACCCCTGCCATGCCCCCAATTTTTTTGTAGGCAATGGACACACCCCTGCCATGCCACTAAGTATATATAGGCAATGGACACACCCCTACCTATATATAGGCAATGGACACACCCCTACCACGCCCCTAGTTATATATAGGCAATGGACACACTCCTACCTATATATAGGCAACGGACACACCCCTACCACGACCCTAGTTATATATAGGCAATGGACACCACCCTACCACACCCCCAGTTATATATAGGCAATGGACACACCCCTGCCACACCTCCAGTTATATATAGGCAATGGACACACCCCTACCACGCCCCTAGTTATATATAGGCAATGGACACA